TTCACTCCACCAGAAATTCAGAAATGGAATTCTGTACTGCTTGGCATTCGCACCAGAAGCTTCAATATGAACATTTTAGCATGTTTGGGAGTCAGTCTGTGGAGTGTGCAAAGTATTCAGAAAGAGTTGGATGAGACTAATGGTGATTACAAAGGTATGGCAGCTCGAAAAACTCACTCTGATCATTCTGATAAGAAAAGAACTCCTGAATTTTTTGGTGAGGCCCTCAGACTCAACACAGTGGCTGACATCAAGTGCATTGAGGAGGTAGTGATGGTTATCAGACAATTTCTGCAACCACATCACTCCTTACATCTGGCCACTTAACTCCCCATACTGCAATCCTCTTGAATATGCGTGAGGTGCAGTTAAGTGAGAGACAACAAAACTCCTTGTAACACCAAAGATGAACAGAAAGCAAGGAGTATGGCTACATTCACCAAATTAAACAAGGAGACTGTCCAGAAGAGTTGCAAGAGATTCCAAAATTGTCTGTAGGCCGTCATTGAAGTTTGTGTTATTTTCATTTTTATGACAATTTATCCATTGCTCACTGTATATTTCTTTACTTGTCAAACTGAAAATATATACCCAATGGAGCCTGATGCAAGATATATAGAAAATTTTATGATTTGATGATGTGCTTTTTGTATGAATATGTTTTATTTTTCTATTTTATATTCATATATATGTCTCTCTCTCTCTCTCTCTACATATATATATATATATATATATATATATGTAAAAAGTGTATATAAATATAAATGAATATATACAGTGTAACCCAGATATAAGAGAGTTGTCGGGACCGGAGAAGAAGTCTCTTATATCCGGGTTTCTCTTATATCCGGGTTTGGTCTATTTTATATACATTAACACAGGCTCTAATTTGGGACCAGAGAAAATCTCTTATATCCGGGTTTCTCTTATATCCGGGTTTGGTCTATTTTATATACATTAACACAGGCTCTAATTTGGGACCAGAGAAAATCTCTCTTATATCCGGGTTTCTCTTATATCCGGGTTTGGTCTATTTTATATACATTAACACAGGCTCTAATTTGGGACCAGAGAAAATCTCTCTTATATCCGGGTTTCTCTTATATCCGGGTTTGGTCTATTTATATACATTAACACAGGCTCTAATTTGGGACCAGAGAAAATCTCTTATATCCGGGTTTCTCTTATATCCGGGTTTGGTCTATTTTATATACATTAACACAGGCTCTAATTTGGGACCAGAGAAAATCTCTTATATCCGGGTTTCTCTTATATCCGGGTTTCTCTTATATCCGGGTTACACTGTATATGTATAATTATTTATATATTATATGCGCGGTACTTATTAGAAAGCGCTCAATATCAGAGATAGAGTTAACAATTTTTTGTTGTATAGATGTGAGTTTGTGACCCTGGGTTTCACGCTTTAGCGATTGTTTGTCTGACGATCGCTAAAGCGTGAAACCCAGGGTCACAAACTCACATCTATCCACCAAAAATATATATATATATATATATATATATATATATATATATATATATATATATAAAGTTGACAGCTTGAGATATAACTATTATTCTTGATTTATTGATTGATTTATTTTTTATGTTTTATCAACCTTTCATTTAAAACCAGAAGAGATTTTTAGATTGTAAAGTATTTTGGAGGTTATAATGATTTACTGATTCAAACCCTACTAACTAACCCATAATTGTAGGGAGAAGAAGTGGATGGATACTTTTCCCAAAATGTATGTGCACACAAGCGAATATGGTAAACCAGGTCAGAAATGAAACCCAGCTTTCTGATTTCCAATTCTGAGCCATTATCCATTATAACTATATATGCTGTTTCCAAATTTCTGGTGCAGTGAATTGCATCATTCCAGCCTTTTTCTCATAGATGGTGCCCAATTTGCCCTATTATAGTGTGCATTCAACAAAATCAAAAATGAACAGTGCATATGCATACAATTAACAATATAAAATGGTGACAATTTACCAATTGAACTGTATAGGTCTTGTATGAGACTCCATTGTGATTATATTTTTAGTTTAACAACTGAAGGAATATACTAGTTTACTCTCTCTTTATATATATATATATATATATATATATATATATATATATATATATATATATATATATATATGTATATATTTCTTTCACTTGATTTATGTGTATATCTTTCACTGTCTCTCCCCTTTCTTGATATGTAAATGCTCCATCGCCTTTAAGCACTCTGCCCTCATAAATTTGTCAAATTTTGAACTATATATATATATATATATATATATATATATATATATATATATAATACCAAATTGCAATTGTTTTCAGTTCATATGAGAGCTCAATGTATGATACAGATCAAATTATAAGAATAATTAGGAAAAAACATAAAAATCCATAGTCAGTCATAAATTTATTCTGATGAATATAAGCATATTCATCTCATCAGACCAACTGCATTGTATGAAAGATTTTCATGAAATATTTTTTTATTTTTGTATATCTGTCTCTTGATATCTTGATTCCATTTCATACAATGCAGTTGGTCTGACGAGATGTATATGCTTATATTCATCAAAATAAATTTATGACTGACTATGGATTTTTTCCTAATCTTTCTTAAAATATATATATATATATATATATATATATATATATATATATATATAAAGTTATAATGCTTGGTGTTAATACTAGCAATTAATATATGCTAAATTATATAATTTAACCTATATTGAATTTAGCAGAATTTCTGCTACTAAAGTGCTTAATATTAGACAAGGGCAATAATTATTATTATATTATTAGTAATAACATTTAATAATTATTGAAGGTCGACTGAGTTTCATAATTTTTCAATTACTCATTGGTATCCTCAGCAGGAATACACACACACATATATTCTAATAGTGATAAGAGATACAGCTCAACATTTTGTTAATAGTGTTCACCATCAAATGTGTATGTATGTATATGTTATTAATATGCACTGATTTAAAAATTTAACTTAATTTAAAATGGAATAAGGTGAATGATGAACTTATCAATCTATCTATCAGTATGTGTATGTGTGTGAAGAATGGGATATATGAGTGGGTCCTGGGTATTTCTTTGCCTGACAAACTTTCTAAAACCAATATTTCAATGAGTAAATATAATAATACTGAATTTGTCAAGTTGTTTGGACAAAGAACTTTTTTATCCCCTCCCACTCTTTATATGCATTTATATTTTTGTTAATATCTGCCTAAAAACATACTCAGACAATTTGTGAATAACTATGCTAATGACAATGATATGTCAGTGCACCTCCAAAACTAATGATGGCCAGAGATTAGCAGCTGATCTCTCATCCAATCTAGTTCTAACATCTCAGTTGCGGAGAAACTGGCTAACTACATTCAATACCTTGAAAACTAAACTAGTTACATTGCATCATCACCGCTGATCAGACCCTAAACTACCACCTGTCACAATGAATGGATGTCCTTGTGGGGTGGCCTTGTGCATTGATCATTTACTGGGTCATAAACTCACCAAAGTGGAACATGTACATATGATCCAATGCTAAAAATGCAGGAAAAATGGTCCTCGTGTTATCCCATACCTCTAAAAGAGCCAAATCAGGCCTAAAATGGTGTACAGCTGTTATATTTGGACAGGAGCTGCTTAGTCCTCACTTTCCAGTCTCAATAAAGTTAAAAAAAGCCTTTGTATCCTTGTGGGTAAGTAATTATTTTCTACCCTTCAACCCCTCTCTCACAGATGGAATATGGCAAGCCTCTCACTTCTCTATCACTACTGCCATGGAAAGTACTTGGAAAAACTGCCAGTTCAAACCATCATGGCTAGGACCCACCATGCCACTCTCATTGTAGCAAACCACCCTCATTCCCTCCATATTCCTTTGGTGAGAAGTAAGTTCCACTTGGGCAGCTTCTTCCCACAAACCACTGCACTGTGGAACCAACTTCCAAGAGGATGCTTCCCTGAACACTACAATCTTAACCTGTTCAAGTCCTGGCTTAACTGTTATCTTCCCCACCTATCCAATGTGCTTTTTACTCTGTAACCCTCTGCCTTGAGTGACCACCAGGCCCTATACAGGGTGAACATCATTGTGAAAAAAGAAAAATCTCAAATTGATGTTACAAATTGCCACAAAATATTGTTGATTTATTTAAGACAGAATGATTTATTATGACATGTCTCTAATTTGTATTTAGATGCATTGTATTTATTTTTAACTTTTCTAGTGGAATTGATCTCCTATGTTGCATATGATCCATTATTATACATAATTGTTACAATAAAATTAGTATTTTATATAAATACTACATTATGAAACCTGATTTTGAAACTCTGCATAAAATGTGCTTCTTACTCTGTAACCCTCTACCTTGAGTGGTAGTCGAGCTTTGTACTGTAAAAAAATCACCTCCCCTCCTCAAGCAAGGCAGTAAAGCCACTAAGATGCAAGGGGGTGACTAACTGAGTGTGATAGAATATGAACAAAAGAAAACCTTATTAAGAAGATAGAACAATAAAAGAACAGTAATTAAAAAGACAAAAGATAACGATTGACATTGCATTTAAATTTTTGAAGATCAATGTTGACTGGGAAACAAGAAGATAGAAGTATGTTCCACAGAAAGAGACAATTCTTATTTAAATTAGTTTTCATGTAGATAAACAGAAAGACAAAGGACATATGTATACAAAGAGATAGGAGATTATATTGATTTGTAATTTTTATTGGTTATCAACCTTTTGCAGGTTATTTAAAACCTGCAAATATTTTTAAATTTTAAGAATGTTTTGGAGATAATAATGATTTCCTGATAAAAATCCTACTAATTAGCCCATAGCTGGAAGGAGTACAGGTGGATTCATAACTTTCACAAGGGTAGTTGCACGTAAGCCCATATAATGATTCTGACTGGAATTGGAACTTGGCTCTCCGATTTGACCCACCTGCATATTCAAGCTTACAGCACCTGGTATTCCCAAATGGTCACCCATTTAGGTACTGACTAGACTCAAAGTTGCTTAACTTCGATGATTGTATGAGAACCATTGTTTCAATATGATATGATCATAAGTGTAGGAGATTATAGATATGTCAACTTATAAATAAGCATATTGGAATATTATATATAAATTTTTATATACCAGAACAATGTTAGGAAAATTTTTTGTGTGACATGCTTCATCCTTTAGGACATCATCGCACTAAGGTGATGTTTTTACTGATATAACTACACATGCACATGAAGAGGAAGGGGGAATATAAAAATGCAAGCATTGGTTATAATTATTCACAGATAATGATAGTGATATTATTAGCCATTTCCTAATAAGGAAACATTTGGCATTCATTGACTGAGCAACTTGTTCAATTGTTGTTTGAAATTTCTAAAATCTTTCTCTTGAAACAATTTTTCAGGAAAAAAGTTTTCTCAAGTCCAGTAGCTGTTATTACACTTTCCAGTATTCATGAGGGTTTCCTTCCTAACTTTTTGTTTGAGTTAGTGTGGAAAGTCAACATTATATCATTACTTTCCCTTCAAGTTACTTGTGATAGAAAATGCAGAAAATATTTTTGTTTTGTTTTATTTTATTAATGTTCCCCCAATAGAAGACCCAAAAGCCACTCAAGGTAGAGGGTTACTGTATGGAGTTGTAGTAGCATAGGAAAGGACAAGTGTTAGGAATATAGAGTTAAAGTAGAAGGGAATGGAAACCAACTCCTAAACAGAAAAAAGGGAAAACCTCTACTCCTGTTCAAAAGACCAGAGGGTAGTGTGAACTGAACAATAGTCAAACCTATCTACTCCTACGGGGTTGCTGAAATTTTCCATGGAAAGTCCAATAAAGCAACAAGTGGCTAGTGATGTTCCATCAAGAGAAAGGGTCTGTAGACTGAACAATAATTCATCACCCACAAGCATGTGAAAACACTATTGGACTCTGTTGAGATTGGAAAGTGAAGACACTGGGCAGCTCCTGCCCATATCTGCCAACAGTACTCTATTTTGGGCCTGATCTGGCTCTTGTATAGGTAAAGGCTAGCAGTTACTTACTGAAACAATATAGGGAACTGACCATTTTTCCAGTATATTTAGTGATGTATACTTGATGTCTGGGTTGTTTAAATCCCAGTCATCATCATCTTGCGGCCTCAACCGAGATTGAACTCACTACACCTTTCCAGTATTCCTTATCTGTCATAGCTAATACTTTTATTGGTATAGTTCATAATCTTGTCAAATAGCTGAATTCTTGATGCTTTGCTAGGGCTATCAAGGGTGTTTTTATCGTGACACCATCACTAAATGAATTGCCAACCAAGGCTCAGAGAGACTCCATTCACCCTCTGCAGGTTTTGAATTCAGAGTTTTCCTTCTCCTAGACCAGTTGCCATCCAAGGCTATAGAACCCAGTCTGTGCTGCTATTTACCCATAGCTGGAGGGAGAAGAAGAGGATTCACACCTTTCCCAAGGGTATTAGCACGTAAGTGAATGTAATGGATTCGACTGGAATTCGAACTTGGCTCTGCGATTCCTCAATCCAAGCTGCTATCCATTACTCCACCGTGCCTCCTCCCAGTAGGTGCTCAACTTTGAAATAGAAAGAAAAGCAGACCAGAGCAGCATGTTGGTGAACAGATGGTAAATGACTAAGATAATACAGAGAATTTGTGTTTCCATGTTCAACTGTGCATGTGTGTGTGCATGTGTGTGCAGAAAGTATAATGTAGTGTAAAATACCTGAATGTGGGTGAATGGAAGAAAAAGAAAGAAAAGTGTGCATGCATGTGTGATTATGAACACATATATTATTATAAAAAGTATTGTAGAAATGTTTTTTTGTATGCATGTAAAATCCTGTCTGAATAGACTGACAGATGGATAATTAGAGACACTGAAATAGATACCTGTGAACAGACAGAATGGCATAAAAATCTTATACATCACACAGTCATTTGGTGAATTTTGATCTGAAATGTTCACTATATAATGTTTCATCTTTGATTCATGGAGAAATATTGGGTTAAGGAAAAGAATGATCGTACTTTTGCAGGCAGATGAAATGGGATTTGCTAGCTGTTCAAATTATTTTTTTGTTTATCACTTTACCTTCTGTTATTCCAAATATCCTATTTATTTTAATTCCGTGTTTTTTTATCAAACTGTCCATTTATTACCCCAATCTTTTAAATCCATTTTTTATTCTGAAAGCAAATTAAATTTTATTTGAATTTTCCAACCTGTCCTTTTATTCCAGCCTACCTACTAATCTAAACTTTAGAATATGTTGAAACTTAAATATTTCTTGTATAAAACAAATGCTTTATTCATCATTAGTCTATGGACTTATTGATCTACCTATATATACACCTAGCTAGTGTGATAGGTATAACAGAATGGCATATATAGATATATAATGAACAGATTCTGATACATAGGCAGATAATGAATAGATTCAGATAGATGATGAACAAATTCAGATAGATAGATAGATAATGAACAAATTCAGAGAGGTAGATGGATAATGAACATATTCAGATAGATAAATGGATAGATAAATAGATAATGAATAGATGCAGATCAATAGATATATAGATAATGAACAGATTCAGATAGACTGATAGATAGGTAGATAAGGAACAGATTCAGATAGATAGAAATTTAAATAATGAAGAGATTCACATAGATAGATAATAAATTGACAGATAGAGAGATAGAGAGATAATAAGCAGATTCACATAGATAGATAATGAACAGTTTCAGATAGAGAGTAAACAAATTCATATATATATATATATATATAAGAAACATACTCAGAGATATATAGAGAGATAATGAACCATTTCAGATAGATATATAGATAATGGACACATTCAGATAGATAGCTAGATAATGAACTATTTCAGATAGCTATGTAGATAGATAATGAACAGATTCAAATGTACTGATTCAGAAAGATTGATAACAGATTCATACAGATAGCTTCAGATAGATGGATAGATAGATATATAATGAATAGATTCAGAAAGACAAATGGATAGATACATAATGAACTGATACAGACAGATAGATAGATAGATAGATAGATAGATAGATAGATAGAATAGATTCAGATAACTAATGAATGGACTCAGAAAGATAAATGGATAGAAAATGAACAAATTCAGAAACAGAGTGACAGATAATGAAGAGTATCCAACATACATATATAGATAGATAGATATATACAGATTCATATAGATAGATAATGAACATATTCAGATAGATTGATGGATAAATAATGACTAGATTCACACAGATAGGTATTTATATAATGAACAGATTTAGATAATGAGCAGATTCAGATAGATAGATAGATAATCAACACATTTGTATAGATTGCTAGATATTAACAGATTCATATAGATAGATGGATAGGTAATGTTAAGATTCATATAGATAGAAAATGAACAGATAGAAATGAGATAGAAAATGGATAGATAGATATTAACCAAATTCAGATAAATGGATAGATTGATAATTAACAGAGTCAGATAGATATATAGATAATGGACAGATTCGGATAGATAGATAGTTAAACAGATTCAGAAAAAATATATAGATAATGAACAGATTCAGAAAGATTGACGGATATATAGATAATGAACAGATTCAGATAGATAGATAGATAGATAGATAGATAGATAGATAGATAGATAGATAGATAGATAGATAATGAACAGATTCAGAAAGATAGATGAATAGATAGATAATGCACTGATTTAGATAAATGGATAGATAGATAATGTAAAGTTTCAGATAGATAGATAGATAATGAACATATTCAGATAGAGTGATGGATAGATAAATAGATAATGAATAGATCCAGAAAGATATATATATAGATAGATAATGACTAGATTTAGATAGATATTTATATAATGAACAGATTGATATAGATAGATATATAGATAATGAACAGTTTCAGATAGATGGATAGATAATGAATAGAATCATATAGATAGATAATGAAAAGTTTCAGAAAGATAGTGAACAGATAGAGATGGATGGATAGATAGATAATGAATGGATACAGATAGATAGATAATGAAATAATTCTTTATATATATATATATATATATATATATATATATATATATATATATAAAATGGACAGATTCAGATAGAAAGATGGGTAATGAACAGATTCAGAAATATGAATAATAGATAAAGATCAGATTCAGATAGATAGGTTGATAGTGAACAGATACATGTAGATATAAAGATAATGAACAGTTTCAGATAGATAGATGGATACATAGATTGATAACAAACAGATTTAGATAGATAATGAACATATGCAGATAGATATATAGATAATGTACAGATTCAGATTGATATTTAATAAACAGATTCAGATAGATATATAGATAATAAACAGATTTAAGGAGATAGATAATGACCAGATTCAGATAGATAGATAATGACCAGATTCACATAGATATATATATAAGGAACAATTTCAGATAGATAAATAATGAACAGATTCAGATAGATAGATAGATAGATAGATAGATAGATAGATAGATAATGAACAGATTCAGATAGATAGATAATAAGCAGATTCACATAGATATATATATAAGGAACAATTTCAGATAGATAAATAATGAACAGATTCAGATAGATAGATAGATATATAGATAGATAGATAGATAGATAGATAATGAACAGATTCAGATAGATAGATAATAAGCAGATTCACATAGATATATATATAAGGAACAATTTCAGATAGATAAATAATGAATAGATTCAGATAGATAGATAGATAGATAGATAGATAGATAATGAACAGATTCATATTGATGGATGGATAGATAGATAATGAACAGATTTAGATAGATTGATAGTTAATGGACAGATTCAGATAGATAATAAGCAGATTCACATACATAGATATATAATGAACAGATTCCTACAGACAAATAATAAACAGCTTCAGATAGATAGATAGATAGATAGATAGATAGATAGATAATGAATAGTTTCAGTTACATAGATTGATAAATAAATAGATGAACAGAT